TGCCACTCGATCCTAACATGTATGCAAAGTTAGACCGCTCAAGTGGCACTAGATAACCGATATGCAAACAAGTTTGCTCCTCTTAATAGTACAACCATCTATCCTAAACCCAATCATCAACTTCTCTACGTGCCTATGACCGGTGAAATGAAATGCCTTATAGGTTATACCTTTGCCTTGCGCATTCCATTCCATCTCCTCCAATGTCGATGCAACACATGCACCAACATGACCATAAATGATATGATCCACTTTATATCATCACGTGACCTTGTTGGTTCGATATTGACCTCACTTGCTCTTCTCCATTGCCTTGGTCCATTGGTGCCAAGTCCTCACTAGACTTGCCCTTCACACTTAACAACTGGTCTATCAAGCGAAGCCTTGTCTTGATCTTCTCTACCTTAGTCACATGACTCAATGTCATATCTCATATGTAATGAGCTCCTTCATCATATATGTGAGCCTTGCAACAAATCCAAGCCATCTTCACCGTCATGGCATGAGTTGCTCACACACATGTACATATGGACTAATCACCTGTGTATTGCACTTAAACATATATTAGTCCACCTAGGTTGTTACTCAATTACCAAACCCAAACAAAGACCTTTCATAGGCCCATTATGTTGATGGCTTTATCTGGTGGTGCCGAAAAAATTACAGAATCTTCCCAACAACTAGTTTTGACTTGTGGGCTATAGATAGAGGGGGTGGTTGATTGGAGTGAGGTTGTTGGTGCCCAAGGGCTATGATGAGGACATGCAACCTTCGGATACGACCATTGATCACAAGGTAAGCTCGTTCTTATGTTTGCATAACGATAAAACTAAGAGTTAGTTGTTATCTAATATTGGTATTTCAAATATGATAATGGATCATGGGTAAGACCAATCTCAAAGTGCAAGTCCACCAAAGTTGAACATTCGGTTTGTCGGCAACCCAACACTACTCCATTATGGAAGCTAAAAGCTCTAGTTTGGTTTTGGTGAATTGATGAAACCCTAAGTGTTAACCTAGTTTATCAAAGTGATTATGAGATAGGTAGCACTACTCTAAGTGATGAAGCAAATGAAGATCCTTACATGATGATGGTGATGCTATGGTGATGATCAAGTGCTTGGACTTGAAAAGAAGAAAGAGAAAAACAAAAGGCTCAAGGCAAAGGTATAAGTGGTAGGAGCCTTTTCTGTTTAGTGATCGAGACACTTAGTGAGTGTGATCAAATTTAGGATTGATAGCCATACTATTAAGAGGGGTGAAACTCATATCGAAATACAGTTATCAAAGTGCCACTAGATACTCTAACTCATTGTATATGCATGTAGGATCTAGTGAAGTGCTAACACCCTTGAAAACATTTTTGTGAAAATATGCTAACACACATGTGCACAAGGTGATACACTTGGTGGTTGGCACATTTTAGCAAGGGTTCAAAACTTCACCGGCGCCCTGTACAGAAAAGATAGGGTTTCACAGAGTACACCGGATGCTGGTCACATAGTGACCGGACTCTGACCCAGCGTCCGGTCAGTGGAAGCAATGAAGACGCTGGCATCGGTCTTCGACCAGATGCTGGGTCACTTTGTGATCGGACGCTGGCTGGGTGCGTCCAGTCCCGCTGACATGGTAGCACAAAGAAGAAGAGAAACGATCGGACGTTGACACTGTGCCCGATCGTGACCGACCAGGACGCGTCCAGTCATGAATTTTCACGAATGGAACCTTACTGGAAACGACCGGACACTGGTGCTGGTGCGTCCGGTCACTTCGAGCTAGCGCGTCCGGTCATAACTTAAATATACTGATGACCGTTGAGATTGGACGATCAGCATTTGAAGCAGGGGACACATGGCATGCATTGCATGACTGGACGCTGGGGTCCTACGTTCGGTCAATCTGACCGGCGCGTTCGGTCGCCCTGATTTTTCAGTGAACAGAGAGCCAACAGCTCTATTCGTGGGGCTCTCTATTTAAGCCCCATGGTCGGCTCAAGCTCGCTCTCTTGGTCATTTGTATTGACATAGCAACCTTGTGAGCTTAGCCAAAGCCCTCCCACTCATCTCCATCATTGATTCATCATCTTTGTGAGATTGGAAGTGAATCCAAGTGCATTACTTGAGTGTTTGCATCTAGAGGCACTTGGTGTTCGTGTTTCGCTGCGTGATTCGCTTGTTACTCTTGGTGGTTGCCGCCACCTAGATGACTTGGAGCAGCGAGGATCATTGAGCGGAGATTGGTGATTGTCTCCGGCTCCGATCGTGGTGATTGTGAGGGGTTCTTGACCTTTCCCCGGCGAAGAGCCAAAAGGTACTCTAGTAAATTGCTCGTGGCTTGTATAATCCTCGTCTTGTGTTGGTTGTGCGGCACCCTATTGAGTGTTTGACGTGTGATGCTAATTAGCATGTGAACCTCTAAGTGAGTGTATCGCCACAATGAGAACTAGCTTGCCGGCAAGCAAGTGAACCTCGATAAAAATCATTGTGTCATCATTTGATTTCTGAAGTGATTGGTCTTCATTGGTATTTATTCTTGTGATTGATTGGTTCATCCCTTGACTCACCGATATAACCATCTTGCTCTATCCCTTTACATTACCGCAAACTAGTTGTCAAGCTCTTTAGTGTAGCTAGTCATGAAAGCTTGTTAGTTTGGTTAGTGTAGCTCTTTAGTTAGCCTTTAAGAGCACACTAACTTAGTGTAGTGACATAACCATTGTGTGGATATAGACTATAGAAACTAGAATTGTGATAGGTGGCTTGCATTTTTTAGTAGGCTAGTACAACAGTCGCTTCGCCTCATATTTGTCTAACCGATTTGCTAAGTGTTGTTGTAAAAATTTTAATAGGTTATTCACCCCCTCTAGCTATTAGTACCTTTTAAAAGCCATAACTCTTTCACACAAAGTGTGATTGAGGCAAGTGAGTACATGATAGAAAGCTTATTTGATCAGTTTTAAATGGATCCCCTCAATATCACGTCGGTGAGACCTTGACCCAAGTTGGAGCACACCCCCAAGGAACTCCACGGAGATGGACATCACACCAATGAATCCCTTGGACATTCTCTCCCCTGGCCACCTCATTAGAAAGCCACCAGGACGTCAAAGCCAAGTTGACGGCCGAATCCATTACTGTCCTGAGATTTGTTCTACATGTCACTAACTTGTTAAGCTCCAAAACATATGGTGAATCTTAATATATAGAAGTAATAGTTTGAAACTCAAAACCAAACAAGAAGGCGCATTTATCATGTCCAACCACAGGTCAACAACTCATCATGGGCTGATGGCAGGCGGCCAAACCAAAATTGGACACTCATTTTGCTCGCCGTGCAGTCAGCCGCTTGTTTGGCCTGGTTTCTACTTCATTCTGCCAAATTTTAATTGGCCCAAACTTTGTGCTGAAATCCAAATGAGAGCTAAAACATAGTTATGCACGGGTAAAAGTTGGTTTACGTTGCTAGGCGCAAAACCAAATAGAGCCCTGACCTTATCTCAAGAAAGGACTACCTACGATGAGTCGATGATTCGACTCTCTTTGCACGGACCCAACTTCTCCAAGACACGCAATTATTTGCTTGGATTTGTCTAGGCAATGTGTTAATTAATCACTAGGACAAAGAACCACATCTTTGTTTCTCTGGTTCTCTCTGCTTATGATCTGAACTCTGATTCAACTTGTGAAGTTGTGAGGCACAAAGGGCGTGTTTAAAGGAGTAGTATGTGATGTAAACCTACACTACACGGCGTGTTTTACGAATTCTGGTCATGCCCAACTTGTGGCAAGTTTGGTGTGACGACCAGACCGTGCGTGGCAGAATGAAAGGCTTTGCGACCCAAATTTGTCGTGTCAAAGATTTGGCAAGCCAAAGCTAGGTAAAAAAAATTACCATAAATTTGGTAAGCCAAATATGAGAGGTTGGTAAGTTTTGATAGACAACCAAATAATAATTAAAATCATTGCTTGCCAAATTTTTAATTGGCAAATTTTGGAAGCCTACCGCTCGAAGCTCCAGAGTCCAGACTGAAGGAGAGTAGCGGGGTACGTGTGTAGCTAGCGCGTGCGGAGCGCTTTATCCACGTCCCTGGAAGTGGACTACTCGTAGCGAGAGGAACCTCTCACCGGACGCCGGGACCCATTCGAAGCATCGACCATGTAGCGCACTGCCCGATGGGCCCACCAGAAGCATACGCTGCCCTTCCAACGACGAGGGCTAGCGGCATACAGGTGACGAGTCTACACCGGCACTCCTATTAGCTTAACTATTAACTACTCCTGCCATACCACCCTCATGTCATGCAGTAGGCTACCCGACTACACAAGCCACCGCACACGGTGGGGCCTAGGGCAACGGTGGTCCCACACGACAGACACTGCCTATCCATGTTGCTGTCAGCTAGCGGGCCACCTCAGGGTTTTTAAAACCCAATTAAAAAAAGGTCAAATGGCTAATCTCTCCCCAAGGAATCTCTCAATTTCTTAGGACCTCGATCTCCCGCAACTTTTTTTTACCTCACGCTATTCTTGTTTATAGTCCACTTGTACCTGATGTCTGCATCCAACCTCCATTCATATCTCATTGCCCGGTGGTGTTTTTTGGAAGCCATCGGGCACCATTCATCGGCCAATTTCTTTTCTTGACATTTTTGTCCAATTTTTTTGCCAGTTTATCCCCTGTTTAGATTGCATCAAAAGGTTGGAGCAAATCTTTGATCTAATTGATACCTTCTGCCGTTCTACGGATATCTTGCCACTCTCTTGATCGTTTCAAGACTTTTTGGATCGATACGATATAGACGCACCTACCACTCCCAGCTCCGATCTTGCTGTTGCTTCTCGCAGTGCGTAGGATCCAAGAAACCCCTGAATCTGCACTAGAGCTTCCGTTATCCAGATCATGGAGAGATTGGGTAAAGCCCAGTGAGGAATCTGAGCTCCCACGCCGTCTTCTACCGGGCCATAGGAGATCTCGCGCGAGAGCACAAGCGACTTTCAAAAATGTCGCCGCAGCCGGCCCCCGATGACCTCGCCAAGGACAAGGAGAGGGAGACCAATGTCCTTATTGAGGCGGCCCCGGGGTCACCGGCGAAGGCGGCTGAGGAGGGCGATGGCCACGGCCATGGTAGGCCCACACCGTTGCCGGTGACATGGTTCCGGATGCTGGCCAGGGAGTTGCACTGGAGCTTCGTCTTCGACATGGTGGCCACGTACAGCATCAGCCAGGGCCTCGGTGGTGGCATCACGCGTCCGACTACTACTGGAAGGACGTGTTAGTTGATCGGCCTATTGGGCCCTTGGATCAACGCTCTGATCGGGGGCGTCCAACCACTCCATGGTTGGTGGACCCCTATCGCACAGCTCTATAAAGAGAGGTGGGGACCAGGGCTTTAACTACAAGGTTGACCTGAGCCGCCGTGCCCACCAATAGCAAAACCTAACCCGATCTAAAGAAAGAAACCTAACCCAATCTAAAGACCCATTGACTTCACCGCCACCACCACACGGAAGACCCATTGACTTCATCACCGTCACTTTGCCGGACTACTACTACTACTGGACTCCCACGCCGAGCTCCCATGACACCTGGCGTCCACGCTGGTCAGTAAGCGCAAGAACGCACGCTAGAGCGAAGTAGAGGAATCAGTTTCTCCATCTAAGTAATATGTTTATCCCCTGATCTACGTTTTAGAGGTACCCTGTGTTCCTAACAATGATACCAGAGGAAGGTTGTCAGTGTGTAGATCTACTATGGGGTAGAGAATTAAAAAGAAATCGAAGAGTAACAGAGGGTTCGATCCGGTTTGGATTGAAACCCTAACCCTAACTGGGTAAAAGAAAATGAAAAGAGACCGGGGGGGGGTGGCGGGCATCACTCAACTGTCGGTCACCACCGCCATCGCATGGGGAAAGGTGCCGCACCGCCATCTTCACCGGCGCATGGCAAAAAAAGAATAGAGCCGAGGTGAGAGATTCGGTTTTCGGATCTAAAAGAGGGTCACCGAACCCCAACCTTAACAGGGTGAAGGAAAGGAGTAAGAAGAAAAAGGACTCGGCTTCAAGAAGAACCTGAATCTGAGTTCAAACCCATGAAGAACTCGTTGGGGAAGATGAATAGTGACTCCACTGAGTCAAACCCTAACCCTAACCCGCGCAAACAGCTCGGGGAAGAAGAATAGTACGCAGCCCTAACCCTAATCCCCAATCGGCAAAGAACTAAGAAAAACAAAGCAAGATCCAAAGATAGAAGAGGGAAAAGGGAAGAGGGGAAGGGGCTTACCTCGCCGATCTCGAATCAAAACCGAAAGAAAAACTGAATCGGGTTAATCCTAAACCTAACAAAACCCTAACCCTAACTCACGACGAGGAAGGGGAAGAGAGTGAATCGGACAAGGGGAAGAAGCTCCTACCTGGGGTCCGCCCGCTCTATCTCCATCGCCGGCCGTAGCATGGACGCCGTGCGGGAAGTCAACCCCAGCCGCCGGGGCAGGAGAAGCACCACCGCATGATCTCTGCCTCGGGCTTGGGCCAAAAGGGCACCACCATGGTGCCGCTCAATGGTGCCGCGTGCGTACGCCGGCGAGGGGTGCCACGGCGGAGCCGCCATCCCCTATGTCATGTCCGCCTTGAGCTCGGTTGTGCTCTGTCGCTCGCGAGGCTGAGAGAGAGAAGGGGAGAAGAGAAATGATGCTAGGGTTCTGGGGGAGGTAGACGCGCGCCAGTTTTGTTCCCGTGAGAAGCACGCTCAGCTATCGGATTAGAATGGACGACGCAGATCGATCGGGCCAACAATCGACCAGGCGGGCGAGCACGGCGGGCGACTTTGCCGGCCCAGGCCTAGGTTGTGGCCTGGGTGCGGGGAGGTGCTGCGAGTGCACGTGCATGGGCTACTGTGGTAGGTCGCGCCGCGCACTGTTGCTGCTGGGCTGGTACTATTGCTGCAGGCCGGGCCAGATGAACAGTAAATAAAGTTTCGAATTCATTTAATTTTCAGAAACAGATTTCGATGAATTTTGTCTAGTTTAATATCTCTGTTAAAATTTGAACCAACAGAATAATTTTTTAGAGAATATTTGAGAAAAGTGAAATGCTTCTGAAAAATAGATAATTTTTTACGTTTTTCGCTGCTAAACAAATAGTTTATTCTCCAGTTATTTTGAACCAACGTGATATGTAATTGGAGAAAAAGATATTTTGATATGATTATGATGTTGTTATTTTCTGACCAACATTGTTAATAACAATATCATAATTTTAATGATTTTATGCATTATTTTACATCTGCCCAACAGTGATGTAGATTTAATGTATAAACAGTTGTATGTTTTAATTTTGACCAACGTTGGAATCAAGGCATGCAATTGTTGTTGTTTATGTTCTCAGTCTATATGAATTATAGTGTCAGGCGGATACAACTTGATGGGTTGTATCAAAGAGATCTCCACTCTCAAAGGTGACAACTACACGGAGTGGAAAAAAAGATTGACCTGGCATTCATCTTGGCTGAGGTGGACTGGATAGTCACCTCACCGTGTCCCACTAAGCCTGTGGCACCGGTGAGGGAGACAAACGAGGTTGATGCCGCTTGGGCAACTAGAGAGAGAGATTTTGAATTCCAAAAGATGGCCTATGACCTTGAGCATAGGAAGTGGGTCACTGTCAACAAGAAATGTTTGGTTGTGATAAAGAACACAATTGAGCCTGCAATTATGGGCTCAATTTTAGAGTGTGACATGGTCCCGAGTACCTCGATAGAATAAAGAGTCAGTTCACTGGCTCTTCAAAGACATAAGCTACCCAGCTGATAAAACAGCTGGTGACAGAGAGGTACTCTGATGTGAATGTTGTATATGATGATGAGAATATTGTGTGCGACAATGAGAATGTATCCTCGTCTGTGGATGTAAACAGAAAACGAAAGAGTGGTCACGATGCGTCGTCGAAATTATGGCACTATCATTTAGGCCATATTTCGAGGGGGAGAATAGAAAGACTAGTTAAGAATGATATTCTTCCTCTATTAGAGTTCTCAGATTTAGAACAATGCAGAGAACGCATAAAAGGAAAGTATGTAAAGAAAATTAAGAAAGATGACAAACGAAGCGTAGGAATTTTATAGATTATTCACACAGACATCTATGGTTATTTTCTGTAAAAGTGTGGATGGTTATGATTCATTCATAACATTCATAGATGATTACTCCCGTTATGGCTACATTTATCCAATCAAAGAAAGAAGAGAAGCATTGGATAAATTTAAGATATTTAAGGCAGAAGTTGAAAACCAACACAATTTAAAGATTAAGATAGTCAAGTCCGACCGTGGAGGAGAGTACTACGGTCGGCATATCCCATATGGCCAAGTTCTTGGACCTTTTGCAAGGTTCTTATAGGAGAATGGCATAGTAGCCCAGTATTCTACACCGGGCGAACCTCAGTAGAATGGAGTAGCTGAAAGACGCAATCGTACCCTGATGGATATGGTGCGCAGTATGATAAGTTACTCCACCTTACCGTTGAGCCTGTGGATGGAGGCGTTAAAACTGCTATTCATATTCTCAATAGAGTACCAAGTAAGTCGGTGCCCAAAACACCGTATGAGTTGTGGACAGGAAGAGTACCATCACTAAACTACTTATGTGTGTGGAGGAGTCCTGCTGAGGCTAAAGTATTTAACCCAAACATTAGGAAGCTAGATCCTAAAATAGTAAGTTGCCATTTCATTGGCTACCCAGAAAAGTCAAAATGTTTTTGTTTCTACTGTCTAGACAGACATACAAAGTTTGTGGAAACGAGACACACTGTCTTCCTATAGGATGAAATGATGAGGGGGAGCATGGTAGCTCGAGAAATTGACCTTGAAGAGAAGCGGGTGTATGCGCCCATTCGATGATTCATGAGCCATTTTTCTCACTATCTGCTGTCACTGCACCTACAGTGCAAGATACTGTGGTGCCAACACCTGTTGTTATTTCCCCTGTGGCAACAATGAATGACGATGAGGAACCTGTTCTTTAGTATCCTATAGAACCTATTGCCACACATGAGAGGGAGCAACAACAACCTCAAACAAAAGATATGCCAAATGTGAAGGCCCCTAGAAGGTCTTAAAGAGTTAGAAAATCAGCTATTCCTGCTGACTATGAAGTATACAATACTGAGGAATTTCAAATGGAGGATGATCCCACCTCATTTGAAGAAGCCATGAGAAGTGATCATTCATCAAAGTGGCTTGATGCCATGAAAGATGAAATGAAATCTATGAATGCCAATAAAATTTGAGACTTGAAAATAATTTCTAAAGGAGTCAAAACAGTAGACTGTAAATGGATCTACAAAACAAAACTTGACTCTCAAGGGAATATAGAGAGATATAAAGCGCAACTTGTGGTAAAAGGCTTTACGCAAAGAGAATGGATTGATTACAATGAGACCTTTTCTCTAGTCTCGTATAAGGATTCCTTCAGAATCATAATGGCATTAGTGGCACATTACAATTTAGAATTACATCAGATGCATGTAAAGATGGCATTTTTCAACGGGGACTTGGAGGAAAATGTTTACATGGCACAACCAAAAGGTTTTGTCACAGAAGGAAAAGAACAAATGGGATGCCGCCTAAAGAAAATTCATTTATGGATTAAAATAAGCTTCAAGACAGTGGTACTTGAAGTTTGATCAGACAATAAAGAATTTTGGGTTTAAAGAGAATGTAGAGGACAATTGTGTTTATGTAAAGTTTAAGAATGGAAAGTTTATCTTTCTTATCCTATATGTGGATGATATCTTACTTGCTAGTAGTGATATCAATCTACTACTAGAGACAAAAAAGTTTTTGTCCTCAAAATTTGATATGAAAGATCTTGGTGAAGCTTCGTTCGTTCTAGGGATCGAGATTCACCGAGATAGAAGTAAAGGGGTATTAGAACTGTCATAAAAGTCATACATAGAAAAGATCTTAAAGAAATTTAATATGCACAAATATAGTCTCTCGCCTGCTCCTATAGTCAAAGGCGACAGATATGTGGATTTTCAATGCCCCAGGAATCAATATGAGATCGATCAGATGAAAACGGTTCCATATGCTTCAACTGCCGGAAGCTTGCAATATGCTCAAGTATGTATGCCCCCTGACTTGACATTTGTTACCGGGTTACTTGACAGATTTCAGAGCAATCCTGGAACAGAACACTGGAAATTAGTAAAGAAAGTCTTGCGTTATTTGCAAGGAACGAAATGCCTCATGATGATGTATAGAAGATTAGATTCACTCTATATAGTGGGATATTCAGATTCTGATTATGCGGGAGATGATAGAAAATCCACGTCTGAATATGTATTCACTCTCGTAGAGGGAGCTATTTCATGGAAAAGCTCAAAGCAAACCGTCACTACATCGTCCATAATGTATGCCGAGTTTGTAGCGTGTTATGAGACAACGGGGCAGGTGAACTGGCTAAAGAAGTTCATACCCGGTTTGAAGGTGGTTGACGACATCTATAGACCACTTAAGTTATATTGCGATAATAATCCGGCAGTATAGTATGCTCACAATAATAAGTCAAGTGGTATTACCAAACACATTGACATAAAGTATTATGTTGTGAAAGATAAAGTCCGGGATCATGTCATAAGTCTTGAGCATATAAGTACCGAAAAGATGCTCGCGGATCCGCTTATAAAAGGCTTACCACCCAACGTGTTCAGAGAACATGTAGCCGGTATGGGTTTAAGGGAAAGCCTATAATTCCTGGACAAAAGAAGGCTCAAAGTTAAGTATCTATTTCAGAACAGAGTGGTGTGTTGTAGCTGTTAAATCTATCGGCAATTGATCGTGACGATAAAACATACTCTATGCACTAATCTGTAATGGAATGAACAAAAGTAAATGATATAAAATTGAAAGATGGTAGTAAGATCAAGAGAGAGAATGCTAGTTGATCTCCACCAATAGATCTAACGGCCTATTGGGCCCTTGGATCAACGTCCTGATCGGGGACGTCCATCCAACCACTCCACGGTTGGTGGCCCCCGTCGCACAGCACTATAAAGAGAGATGGGGACCAGTGCTCTAACTACGAGGTTGACCTGAGCCGTCGTGACCCACCAACAGCAAAACCTAACCCGATCTAAAGAGGGTGCTGCCAGCGACGGGAAAACCCACTGACTTTGCCGTCACCACCGGACCGCGGCACCTTGCGTCACCGTCGCCTCTGCATCGCCACCACTACGCTGGACTCCACCGCGCCGAGCTCCCAAAACACCGGCGTCCATGCGGCTGCGACGCAACTGCGTCGGGGCGAAGTAGAAGAATCAATTTATCTGTCTAAGTAAGATGTTTATCCCATAATCTACTTTTCAGAGGTACCCTGTGTTCCTAACAGGACGTGCAGCGGGTGCAGCCGTCCGTGGCGCAGGTGTACCAGGGCGTCACCTCCATCCCCTGGATGGTCAAGCCGCTCTGGGGCCTGCTCACCGACGTGCTCCCCGTCGCCGGATACCGCCGCCGGCCCTACTTTATTCTTGCAGGTGAGGAGCACTGTGGTGTGCTGTGTTAGTTTTTGCCTTTTGGTTAGAGTCGCTCTCGCTCCTGAGTCCTGATTTCTGGAACGACACTGTTCCTTGTCCAATTAGGTAGCAACTTTAGAACTAAAAAATATTCTTGCTGAAATTTAGGAGTGCAAGTAAAGTTTGATGACTTGTGCTGCTGAAAATGTGTCAATGGCAATGAGCATCAAACATGCCTATGAGCTAATGGCTATGCATTAGTTGACTTTACGCCTAGTAGGTGCAGCATAAGATCCAAGCTAGTAAATCATTTTGAAATGATGATGAGTTCAGTACATCGTAATTTTGATTCATTGAACTGCATAGAGGAGTGCAAGCTCTCTACCAAATAGCTAGTAGGAAGGAATCAAGTGATTATGTAGGTGCATTTTTATAATAAACAAGCTTTGCAGCATAAGCCAAAATATGGACTGTTCCGCTAATAATGGCATTCATACTACTATTCTCTTGATAGGACAATAAGCGTCATTTAGTAAAAGCATAAACATAAAATGAGTATCTTGTTTGTTTTGTTCCCTCCCTGTTTCTGAGGAGTATGCAGGCTTCATCGGAGTGATTGCAATGCTTATACTCGCTCTTCACAGCAAGCTTCATGCATTGTTGGCTTTGTTGGCATTGATGACTGGAAGCGCTAGCGTGGCGATAGCTGATGTTACTATAGATGCTTGCGTGGCGGAAAACAGTATAGTGTACCCTCATCTTGCTGCTGACACGCGCTCTTTTCGTTTGGGCTGGTTTGGCTTATAAACCATGGTTGAAAGTACTGTTGGCTGGTTTGGTGTGAGAGAAAAATATTGTTCGTTGGCTGATAAACCATGACTTATAAGTCAAATACGACCAAGCGAACAGGCTGATGATAAGCTTAAATGGATTCTGTTCATCTGTTGGAGGTCTTATTGGATTCTCAATAAGTGGTTTTGTCGTTCATGCAATAGGGGCTCAAGTGAGTATCACTAGTTTATCTCTTATAAAGATTTGTTTGAGTTTCATACTTTTCAAATTTCATTGATCTGCGCTGATCGCTGCTAGAAGCAGAATGCCTGAATATCAACATCTTAATCTAATTCAAAGTAATTTTCATATAGTACATTTTTTCTACATAATAATCAGTCCACTTTACTTGTGCTACTTCTCTTTTCTGTGACTTGTCAAATATAAATTAGACTGGCAGTTATCATTACTTTGGATGGTGCTGGTGTATTTTTCTTCCTTTTCAAACTTCAGATGGTGTTGGTATCTGATACTGGATAAATCCTGCCTTTCTCAAGGGTGCCCTTGGACTGTTAACCATACCCTCTGCCTTGGTAATTTTATCCGGAACACTGCTGAAGGAGGTTCATATCCCCAACTTTCCATACGGGCAGGTTAGGAATGTTCTTGTTTTCTCTGACACCACATAGACTCTCTTTTACACTAGTTTTTCCTTCCTGGCATGACAAATTCAGGCCCATAAGAAGTTTGTAGAAGCAAGTGGAAAAATGTTGACAGCTTTGAAATGTCCTGGAGTCTGGCGACCATGTGTTTACATGTACGTATCACTTGCATTGAGTGTCGACATCCAAGAAGGAATGTTCTTCTGGTACACAGACCGAAGTGCAGGGCTATCTTTTCATGAGGTACACATACATATCATTTAGCTATGATGCATGCTTGGCAGCTTGTTCATGAATACAAAAGTCTCTTGCACTTAAAATTCTTGTATATCTAATACATTTCAAATGAAATTTCATTTTATGAAAATATAGCATGGCTACTTTTGAAAAATTGTGCCTTCTGAACCGATAGTCAAACTAACTATATGTTACTTCACCAGGGATTTATTGGCTTTATGTTCGCTATTGGATCAGTTGGTTCTCTTGTGGGTGTTATACTTTATCAAAATATTCTTAAGGACCATTCCTTTCGCAGCCTTCTTTTTTCGAGCCAGCTGTTGCTAAGCCTGGCAGGAATGCTTGATCTGATCTTGGTGCTTCGACTAAACCTTAAAATGGGGATACCAGATTTCTACTTTGCGGTGATTGATGAGGGGGTCTCCAAAATGATCAACCGTATCAAATGGATGCCTCTTCTGGTGCTTTAGCTCAAAGCTTTGCCCCACTGGCATTGAAGGCACGTTCTATGCATTGCTCATGTCCATCGACAACATTGGCTCGTTAACTGGATCATGGGTCGGCGGATTGCTACTTCATTTGTTGAGAATCACAAGAACAGAATTCAAGAACCTCTGGGCCGCGATCTTGATTCGAAATATGATGAGGCTGCTACCACTGGCGCTGCTGTTCTTGGTGCCAAGAAGTGATCCGAATTCCACTCTTCTTCCATCCGATTTACTGAATGAGGGAGACGATGATGAAGCTCAGCGAGTAGAGAGTGTCGAGTTAACCTCCCTCCCTGCAGACAGAGATTCTTGCAATGATAAATCTCTTCATGACTGCCAGATTCAGGAGGGCCTTGGTGGAGAACGAGATGACGACGAAGCTTCACTTCTTGCCAACAGGAGTTGATACTGGATGCATATGGAGATTTTTCTTTTGTACACGAGCAAACAGATAAAATTTAGAAAAATCTTTGACATTTGTTTACTATAGATACTCATTTAGATGTCCACGTTGTTAAATTAAATTCATTGATTTTACAGCAGGGTAGCGAAGGCTTGAGAGACACATACTGGGGATGCTTTGAGTTTGTTCTCCATTTTTCTGAACTTTCCCATATACCAAAGTTATTACGAATCAAACTTTACGAAGTGCAAATCTTGACTTTTTTTTATGAGGTTTACACTTGGTGTTAAACAAGACTAGAGATGCAGGCGGATTTGTGTCCCATAAGCGGTTGCGCAGGCAAATATGTTTCCTATCCTATACTCTTATAAAGTAAAATCATATTAGCAATTTTTCTGAATCCACAGCCCTCCACGTCGTCGTTCCCTCCTGGCCAACGCGTCCACCTCCACCCGGTCCCTCCGCCATCGGTGGCTTAATGATCCAGCAATTTAACTTCCTTCATGACTTTATGAGGACATGAAATGAACAGACAAAGGCTATGTTCGTTTTGCTGAAAAGCCATAGCTAAAAGTACCGTTCGCTGATTTGTTGTGAGAGAAAAACATTGTTCGTTTATTAAAATAGTATGGCTCCCAGAAGAAGCAAACATGCAAAGTCCTATCCAATCCATGCTGCACGCGCGCTGTTTGGTCATCTCTAGCCCCTGCCTCTTCCCCTTCCCCTGCCATCACTTGCTCACCTCCCAACTGAACTGACCATGTATATATAATAACCCAAGGAGGCAAGTACGAAGCCTTGATCCAAACTGACAACTCTTCCAGCCTATTCGTTTGGCACAAAATATTATAGTCGAAGCATCCATGGAGCCTGTACTCCCTGCTACTGATTTTAAGTCAGCGCTTCTACACTAGCTGTTGGTCAGCAAGGTCTAAGAACGTGCAGTTCCTCTTCCTCCAAAAAGTACCAGGGATCATCAGCAGGTAGTAGTACTTTCTCATACCCAATCTGTTCTTACTGCATACTCAGAAATTTTTAATGTACATTAACTTTTAATATTCTTTTACAAAATCCGTTCCAAATTATAATTCATTTGACTTTTTTGACCCCAAGTTTAACTGATCGTCTTATTCAAAAAGTAGCGATCCACAGGTATATGCCTCAGGTTAGCGATCCGTGTTTTCTTTATGAAGTTAAAGATCAAAGATTAGCATGTTGCCTTTTCTTTAGTTCATTCTTGATGTATCATTTTTTAAACATATTTAAATCAATTAGTAATCATGATACAAATATATGTCCACGGTCCAGCATTCAATTGAAGTTCATATAGATTTTTTTTGTCTTCAATTATACCGCTGCCACAGTTTATTGTAGAAAATTTACAAGCCATTGTATGTCCTATGTGAACAAATCAATTATGCTTAAAATATATATATATATATATACACACACACACTTCTTATATATGTCTGTACATCACGTTTGATTCTTCTACATCCTATTCCTCTTAAGTCAAATAAAATTACTTTTATATTTCTGCGGCAACGCGCGGGAAATTCACCTAGTAGTGTTACATTTTGGAATGCGTGAAATTTTTTATGTTTCTGCGTTTTTCGGAAAAAAATTGACTGGCCCTATTTTCTAGATGTGTATTGCAGCATACTATTTTTTCCATTTTTTGAAAAGACATGCACATAAATGATGATATATCAACATCAACATTATTTAAAGGAGGAAAGATCTCACTCTCACCGGAGTTGACAAATCCCTCGATGAAACCCTAGGTCTGTTCGGCTGATATTAAAGCCGGCTGATAAGTTAGCTAAAGTTGTTTTGTTGTGAGAGAAAAATACTGTAAATTCTAGTTGATAAGCCGGCTGATAAGTTCAAACAAACATGCCCAAAAGAAACCAACTTCAAACAATGAAAACTTGTTTTTCCCTCGTCTCAAAAGATAATTTTACATACATAAATGATATATCAACATTATTTAAAGGTGAAAACATCCCATTGAGTTGACAAATCCCTCCACCCCATAAAAGAAATACTACTCACTGAAAACTCGTAGACGTTGACTCTTCGCCAGTAGCCAGATACAAGTCGGCCTAGCCGTCTCAGCCCTTGTGTAGTTCCATGAATTTGGAATTTGAGGTATTGTAAGACTTTGAGACTGCGTTTTCCACGTCAAAGCGTTTCGTTTCGCAATTTCCCAACAAAGCGGCAAAGTTTTTTCGTATCTGGCACACCGCGCGCTCGTTCGTCGCGCTGTAGCCAGCTTTTTAGATTTTGAACTTCAACTAAACACGGCGTCACTGTCGGTGAGTGAGACTGCGTTTTCCACGTGAACAAGAACAAAGCGGCAAAACGAGTCGTACTGGCACACCGCGCGCTCGTGCGTCGCGCCGTGCCAGCGCTACACGGCGTAGCAGTAGTACGCCCGAATAGCCCCACCGCGTGGGCCCGCCTGTCACCGCGCCGAGCTGCTGCTGCTGACAGCTGCGCGCCTGCATCCAACAACCCCCGTCACTTTATCCACTCGGGGTGGGGGGGCACCCCACCACCTGTCACCGACACATGGGGCCCAGGGAATCCGACCCCACAAGTCATCCACTAGCGCCCCTCTCGTGAGCACGGCGGCGGCGGCTATTTCTGGACCCTTCTCCTCTCCCAAAGGCCAAGCAAGCAGGCTGCCGTCCCGTCCCCCATTCCGTCCGCCCGCCTTCGCGCTCCCTTCCCCCTGCCCTCCCTCCCTCGAATCATTCGATTCGCTCCGCCTCGCCTCGTCTCGCCCGCCCGCTCGATTCGATTCGCCCGTCACGGTGATCGGGACCGGCTGGCGCTAGGGTTTGTTAGGGTTCCGGCGATCGATCCCCACCCCGATGGTGCAGCTGCCGAGCTCGGGGAAGCGGCACGCGGAGCCGGCCGAGCCGGCCATGGCTCCGGCACGGCGCGCCGCGGTCAAGCTGGAGGTGGAGGAGCTCGGGGCCGACGAGCGCGGCCCGCTCAGCAAGCGCGCCAAGGCAGCTCAGCCGATGCCCCCGACGCCTCCGCAGCCGCAGCAGGTAGATCCGGGGTCGTCGTGTTTTTCATACGGAATTTTGGTGTGCTCTGTTGGCAGTGAGCTGGCTAGCGAGCTGGTCTCGCCATGTTTGATGTCAATCGGGGGAGTTCTGTCAGGATTTTTTGGGCTATTAGTTTAGCGTGGTGTTTTTGGGAAAGTAGAAGTGCTTAGCTGTGAAATTCAGGCGTTCGATCCGAATTACCCTCTTACTCGAGGACTAGATGAAGCTGCAACGTAGGGTGATTCTTCTACAGCTTATTTCGTGCAGATAAATTTCCGCATGTCGTTTGTATGCAACTCTTGCAATGCAAATGTCCTCTGTCTAGTTGCAAGACAGGTTGACGTCCACATTTACTGTGCATTCTGATGCTCTAAAGCAAGCAGGGAAAAAAGAAACAATAGTTTAACCATGCTCATGACGTCATATTCTACCATGCTGTTCAATTAGTAAGTCCTGTTATGGTACAAATCTATGGTTGGAATTTGCTACTATCATCTAGACACATAAACACAGATACCAGTAACATGCTGTGGGCTTGGTACCTTGACAGAGGATAGTACTGTACTGCACTAGTGTACATGTACTCTGTGCACTAGGTAAGGTTTTGTTTAGAGGATTTCAGTCCATTATATGGCCAATATATATGTGTTCATACTTTATCCGGACAACAACACTTGCTGTATGTTCAAAATTTATGTTAGGAATGAACAGAAAACATGAATTGTCAGCTTTATGTTAGTGATGGACTTTGTTGAGAAAATAATCTGAACTGGCTATTTATCCCTAGGTAGTTGTATATGCATATATAACTATAGAATTGTCAGCTTTGAGATTTATTGTTCTTATGTTGATGGACTCTTTCAGGATATGTACCACAATGTACTCGATGAACCTAGCCCATTGGGTCTGCGGCTGAAAAAAAGCCCATCACTCTTGGATTTGATTCAAATGAGGCTTTCTCAAGCATCCAACGCTGGGGAGTCTTCCATGGACAACAGTGGTTCTGAGCCTTCCAAGAAGAAAGACAATAAATCTGGTGCGTCTGCAGCAGGCGAACGGCTAAAAGCTTCGAATTTTCCTGCAAGTATATTGAAGATTGGTTCATGGGAGGTGACTTTATTTTTTCTGTTCTTTTATCAGCTCTGAGCCTCTGATACAATCTCAATATGCATTAGGTGTATGTCTCCCTTTTTTTGCCTTCTTTGTTTGTTTTAACTAGAAGTATACCCCGCGCGTTGCTGCGGGAATTGCAGATGGTTTAGAATGAAATTATACTATATATAATTACTTATACAAAGGAATAAACTATTATAAACTAATGCTAGTGGATTACGTGGCATGTTGACATGGACAACGAAATGCTTATATGTCTTGCTGACATGTACTTCACAATTGCATATGCTAGTGGGTTTTAATTGCATGTGATAGTGCATTGCTGAGGTGGATAGCTTGCATGTTGAGAGAAATCGCTAGTGGGGTTTAGGAATATAAGATATAGAGGTTTAGGAATATAAGAT